TATATATATATATATATATATATATATATATCCTACCATATTATTATATGCATTGTTTATGTGAACAAAGCCCATGCTATAAAGCACTTCAGGGTGTGGGTACTGTAGGATAGCAAATTACTTTATTGCCACTGAATGGGTGGGTGTTTTGCTTCAAGTCTGAAGCAAGGCTTGATCATCTGAAACTCTATTTAAATCATTTAAATGTGAAACACGGTTTGTGTGAAAACTTTTTTTATTTACTTCAGGTTTGCAAAACTACATATACGTGTATGTATAAAAAGTCTTCTTGAAGGTAGCTTTAGACAGCATGGTTGATATTTAGGGAACGTTTTGGTCAACAGCTCCTGCCTTGTGTTCAGCTTTGAGCCCAAAATGTTGTCACCAATAAACACAAGGCAGGAGCTGTTCACAAAAAAATACCCACATATAAAAAGCTCTTGTCACATGTAGGTGACTCTTATAAGTAGTATGAATCTTGTTTACATATTTTTTTCTGATTTAATTCCTGTTTTTGCATTATTTGCTGTTTATTTTTTTTTTTTATAAAACCTCTTCTTTACTACTTACTATGATGCTTTTCTTATCAAGTCATTTTACATTTTAAATAGTCATGATTTTATCTGTCTCCTGGACATTTGTTAGTGTTAGGCAATTATAAGGGAAGAGATTGAATGTTTTAAATTGTAATAGAATAACTCTTGTCTTGTTTTAAAAGTTGCCTGGTGGTAGAAAAAATTTCCTCATGATTATAAGATTGTTATTGTAATCACTGTTAAAAACAAAAGAAGTTGAGAGAAAATTTCAGAAATTGTAGGACTATTAGTTTAACTTCTGTTGTTAGTGGTGGCTTGTAATTTGTCTGTAAGGTTAAGGACACTGAATTAATTCTGCGATATATTGTTTCCTTCTTTCAGTTTATGATAAAACTAAAGTTGTATGCTGTATATATTGGAATTTATATATATATCACATATTCCATTATTAGGGATCTTGAAGAAAAAAAGTTTGGATGTATACAGGATTAAACTTCTAAAGAAAATAGTGAGTGGACTATCTAAGGTTATTTATCATGGAGATAAAATAGAAGAATTCAAAGCCTTAAAACAAACACCTCTTATCAAGATAGATAACAGTGCAGACTGAAGTATGAAAAATGCTGTTTTATCAATAGTGAAAATTTTCTCTCTCGCTAAAATGTACGAAATAATTTACATCTTTAAGTTTACTCTGTTTTTTTTTATTTGTTTGATTTTTGTTATAATAATTATTTTCATTTCTTTTCTAGGGTGTTTTGCATGTGGAATGGAGAATGGGTTTCGAGTATATAATTGCGATCCATTAAAGGAGAAAGAAAAGCAGGATTTTTCTGATGGCGGAATAGGTTATATAGAAATGCTTTTTCGATGTAATTATCTGGCCCTGGTAGGAGGTGGAAAGCAACCACGTTACTCCCCTAATAAAGGTATTCAAGATAAAAGCTCCAATGTGTTTAATACAGTACTAATTTAGTTTACATATGACCACTGAGAAACATGCACATTTTTTTTACTTTCTTTTAAATTGTGTAATGCAAGTTCAGACATGCTGGCTTACTAAAATATAGTTGTGTCTTTGAAGAAACCATCCAATGAACTTTGAAACAGAAGGACGTTTTGTTACTGGTTATTGTTCTTCTGAAGAAGCGTAATCAAAAGTATGGTCCCCCAAAAAATAAGAGATAAAAGTATCGGCTACATGTACTTATTAATTGATGATATTTGGTTTAATTATTTTAGGTAATCTTGTGACTATTAATAGCAAAGACTATGTTGTGTAGGTTTTTTAATTTTTTCTAAGAGTAAGTGGTTGACACTACTAAACTAGAAGTAACCCTCTCTGTTTGAGCTGGAGTGTAGGACTGAGGCCCATTAGGCATGATCCTCTGAGGGGATCTAGGGGCATGCTCCTCTATTGGAAACACCATTTTCTGCATTTTTTAACCTCTTGTTAAACAATAATATGAACAGAAGTAACAGAATGAAAAGGTAATAAATATTTGAATCAACATGTATATATATATATATTTACATATTTTAGCTTTATTTCCATTAGGAGTCTAACATATTGGGAATTTTTAACACTTTGGTATAAATACCATGACTTTGTCCCCTACATCAATCTGGAGATGCCCATTAAGTATGCAAAATTAGTCAGTAAATTTGAAAATGTTTTTTTTTTCTTTTGTGTATGTTGAAATTTATTGATTTAAATCGGTAATAGTATGATCATGATTAACTACACATGGTTGAACAGAGAATGGGCACTTAAGCACATACCACTGAGTGTATGAATGTGTAATCGTGTAATTAATGTGTGTTTTACCTTCCTTGCTTCTTGTTCCATCAAAAGTGTCTTTAAAATAATTTGAAAATAACTTTTTAAGGCAAAGAGAGATTTGCATGTAAAAAAAAAAGGAAAAAAAAGTTGCAATTATAGTTTTCCTGGTGACTGAGATCTTCCAGGATAAAAATGTTAGTAGAAAGAACATGTATATTTGTGTGCGAATGTTTGTTGAAAAATCATATTAAGAATTAAAAACAGAAAGAAGCAAAACTAATTGCTGTATAATTAAAAAATGTGCATTAACAGTGATCTTAATTCATTTGTATGATAGTATTTATACAAAGTTTAGTAAAAAAAATTGTGTGTGTGTGTGGTGGGCATACATATTTTATTTTTGAACTTTGATATCCTTACTAATTTAACTTAATTACACTCTAAATGGATTTATTTGTTGGACAATGATAAGATATTAATAAAGATAATGAAATTATACAAGTGTTTTACTTGCATATTAAAGAAACTCGGTGTCCACTAAAATCTTATTTTTGAGCTGTTACAGCTGTAAATGGTTAAAAAAAGTTTTCAATTTCAGTTTGAGCTGATTCTCAAATATAGAATATTTTGTATAACAAATTTTAATCGTTTGGTTAAATTGAAAAATAAATAAGCAAGTATTAGAACCTTTATTTTGTGTTTCGTGGGATACGTTTTCTATGAGGAAATAGTAGAATTACAGTGCTTTCTGTTTGGTTTTAATTCTGTAATTCTTCCCATGAAAGTTTTGAAATACTGTAAGAATAATGTGTAAATGTAGGGCTAGTCAAAAAATTCTAATACTTATGCGTAAAGATTCCTTTTAGGAGTGGGAAAGAAACACATGGTGCTGATATTGTTAACAATCTATAAAATGTTTGTGAATATGTGGATCATACATGTCTGCATTCTTGATGTCCAACACTGCTTATACTGTGCAACTATTATGTATCACCATTCTTATTATTAGAGAATTTCACTATTGTTGATGAATGAATTTTCTAGGAGTGATGATAAAATTTTCTCTGTTATGTAGCTTTGTTTTCTTTTGCTTATATATTCATAGCACCACCTATAATTTCACAAATTTTAATGACAATTTTTTGAAATTTTTGTGTCAAAAAATGTAATACTTAATTTGGGATCCAAATTACAAACATCTTTTAAACGTGGCTAATACAATACCCGTGCCCATTCTCTCATATTTCTTCTTCTTAAACTACTTATTTACGTTCTTGGTTCTAAGAAGATGAATTTCAGAAGTAATCCAAGAAGTTCCACCACAAAAGAATAAAATTATAATATTACAAAAACAGTAACTTAAAACTGATACCCACCTATCTCTCCTCAGTTTTACAGCCTTCACTTCAGTAGAAAATTCTAGTTCAATTACATGTTTCTTCTTCAAGTCATCCCAAACCATAACTACATTAAAATCAATATTTTTTTAGCTTTTCACAAATAATATATTATGGTAATCTTAAAATAAACTTACCTGCATAGCACACAAAACCTAAAATTTAAAGCTAACAGAACATCTCTATTTTATTTTTTAATTGGTCAATTCCTAATCTCAGACAATCTCTTTGCACAGTAAACAGTTTAGAACATCAAATAAGAGTACCTAAGTGAACCATTTCAGAAAACTGCAGCCTTAACAACATCTATAACTGACCAGTAAATCATTATAGAAGAGAATATTTTGGACACCTTCTATAACTGACCAGTACAATGACCAGAAACATCAAACTATTACAATGATTTAGGCCACTTGGTTAGAACCAGAGTGTAATTGGCCAGCTGGGTTACAATGCTTTAACAGCAAGTGAGAAAAGATATGATTGAAAGAGTGCAAACATCAACAATCTTATAAAGTAGAAACAAGTATCAGTATGGAGAATGAATTCACAATGGTCTCTTCTGTAATATGTCCTGTTGAGTTGTAAAAGTATTAACAATGATCTTTTTTGTAATGTTAACATTTTATAACTGACCATAGTTCACAATGGTCTCTTCTGTAATATGTCCTGTTGAGTTGTAAATGTATTCACAATGATCTCCTTTGTAATACTTGTGATGTTCAAATCCAACTATTTGGTCAGACAAGATTAGCTCAAGAGTTGGTATTCACTAGCTGCCTTCCCTCTATCGTATCACTTCAAAATTAGGGACATCTAGTACAGAAAACCCTCGTGTATCTTTGTGCAAAACTTAAAAACACAGACCACTGCCACATAGAGAGGCTTTCTATTTCATCATTAGGAATTTTGGCCCATTCCTCCCATTTCTCAACTGTTAGATATTCTACCTTGCTATGGAATTCTTAGATTATTGATGATGTCATTTGGAAACCCCCAAGTTCTTCATATTTATCATTTGATTTCTCCTCTTTTTTTACTGGCCTTTCACTTTTCATTTTCAAAGTCAGTTACATCCACACACACTTTATAATTGGAACTTTGTTTATGTTTTCAAAGCTCTGATCTAATTCTTTTTTATTTCTTGTTTGCTTTTGATCCTATTTTTAGTCTTTTATATTGTTGTATGCAACAGCATGTTAAGAATCAGCAGGTTTTTTATGCTTTTGTTCTTCTCTATTGTTCCTTCTCTTTACTATGTAGGCAGATACTATAGAGTTAGTGATTATATACTCTCAGTAACTATTGTACAGAGATTGTCTTTCAAGTCTTTGTGATATGTAAAAATACATTTATGCACACACTGTTGAATATACAATTATTGTTTTTTAAATGAATACAAAAGTGTGTAAGCAGTCTACATCTTTTTATTGTTAAAGTTAAACATTATACTGATTATTGTTATTATATATTGATTATAGTTATTATTTTGATCTGTTACTAGAATTGTAGCAGTTTTGGAAACAGTCATCAAAGTCTATACTTTCACCCAAAACCCTCAGCAAGTACATGTGTTTGAAACATGTGTAAACCCGAAAGGTACTCTGAAATTTGTATAAAAATTTAACTTTCTTTGATAAATATGTATTTATTGAAATATAAACTTTTACAAATTTTCTTGTCAAAAACTATTTATGAATTAAGAAAATTGGCAGATATTTTTACAAAAGTGGAAAAATGTCTGAAAATTAATTTAGAAAGTATTAAACATGTTTTTGATCTTTGGCTACCTTAATAACCGTAATTGTTTTTTAACCTTTGCTTATTTTAATAGCCAGAATGCAAGTTTAACCTTTAGTTGCATAAATAATCAGAGCATAATTTTAACTTATGGCTGCTTAAATATTAGAACATTATTAAACTTTTAGTTTCTTAAATACATTGACACTATTCAATCTGTAGGTTATTAACCGTGTGCACTGCAGGGTTAAAGTGCATATATCACAAACTTTCATAGAGTTGCATTCATAATTTAATTAAACAACTTTATTATCAATGTATGTCAATAAACTTGGTAGCGAAACATAGATCCCCCAGTGGGACAGCTGTGAGTGTACGAACTTACAACACTGAAATCCAGGGTTTGATTCCACACGGTGGACACAGCAGATAGCCCATTGTGGCTTTACTCAAAAACAAAGCAAAACATAGTTTATAATTTGAATTTTAATATTATATAAGTTTTAATATCTTAAATTGAAAAGGAAATATTAAAGAAAATTCCCAGTTTCACTTCTCTGTGTCATGTGATGTGTCTGTGTTTCAAATTGCTCATTTAAAATTTAGAAACACCAGTCTTTGTGCTTTACCCTGATATAAAAAGTAACGTCAAGCTCACGTGACACATTCCTCCTATGTCTTTCTATCTTTCAAAAAAGGTCAATAATTCTGTATCTCTGACATTGCTATTGGCTTACTCATCACCAGTTGAAAGAACATCCTTTTCTTTACAAGATTCCATGTACTGTTATGTTGTTTTAATGCTAGTACATAGATGTTTATCCTCTGTTTTATTGTTTTCAGTCATGCTATTCTGCTCTGAGCCACTAATGGATTGTTTTAACCTATTTATAACTTAGTTAGAGAGCCAGTTAAATTGTAGTAGCTTTCGGACCTTCTATTCTAGCATCTAATGAATATTTTATGTTCTAAAATATATATTTGAAAGGGAAATTAATTGCTTTATGTAGAACCAACATGGTATGAAAAATAGTGTTCAAGAAGTATGCTTTCAAGTAAATATTACTGAAATAATTTTCAATCCTAATGTAACTCCAACATTTTTATTATATACTTTTAATAAAAGTAACTAAAATGTGAAAAGTAGAAACTTGCAGGTTAGATAACGAAAAATAAATATTAAATAAAAAAATTTCATAACATCAGCTTGAGTTAACTGTGTCATATTATTGTAACTCGATTGATTGTTTACATTAAGTTTTCCTGAGAGGGCTACAGATGAAACGGACTACAGAAAACACATCAAGGATCTAAAACAAAACATGTTGTAAAGAGGATATAAAGATACTGAAATCGACAAACAATTTGAAAAGGCTAATAACACTCAGTGGAAAAACATCCTAAATCAGAGAAATACTAAACTTTCAAATAGAATTCCTCTTATTATTACCTATCAGTTTAAACTCAGAAACGTTTCACGAATTCTGAAAAAACATTTTCATATCCTACAGCTTAATGATCGTCATAAACAGATATTTCCTGAAGTTCCCGTTGTCTCCTTCCGAAAAAGCAGAACTCTAAAACATATCCTTGTTCACACAAAAGTGAATTACATCCCAGCCAAAAATGGTTGTTGTCCATGCAATAAAGCCCATTATCAAACCTGCATGTTCATAAAACCACTGACTCATTTTCTGACAAGTACAATAAAACAAACTTTAAAATATCCAAAGAAATCACTTGAGAAAAAACAACAACACCATTTACCTTGTACAGTGTAAAAAAATGCAATCACCAAGATGTAGGACATACACAAACAACTTGTAGAGAATGTTCCAACAACTATAAATCTTCTATTAATGCCGATAAAGATCTCCCTGTTGCTGAACACTTTCAACAACTGTAATGGACAGTTTGTATCACATTTTGATAGATTTTGAGTTATATTGCACCATTCCTCCTTCAGAGTAAGTTCCAGTTCAGTAGTGGATCGTGGTCTATTGAATCTGACCCTTGGTCAGTATTTCAAGGTGTCGAAGAGTGGGTTGGCTCTGGACCGGTCTCTGAAGTTTTTCAGTGTTGTTGTTCTTGAATCAATTCCTAACACACAGCAATACAGTAATGTGCCTTGTTATGCTTAGATTTAAGGGCCCTTACTGCAGTATGAAAACCAGTAGTACAGCATTGTTGAAAAGGTTAATTTAAGATGATGCAGTTATCGTTTTCTTCACAAAAACCGAAGAATCTAGTCCATACTATGAAATAAAACCCAAAACCATTATGCTTTTTGTACCACCTTTTACCATTGTGGCAATAAGATCACGTGTGTAGCATTTGGACAGTTGACACCAAACCCAGGTTCATCCGTCAGGTGCTAACAACAAGCATTATACATGATTTATTTCAACTGTTTAGTACACCATCTCAGCTTTTTAGAAACCACTTCAGTCATCACTTTGCCTTTAGGCTTGTGAACAGCAATTCTTCCAATAAAACCTTGATTATGCAGTTCCTGTTCGATTATGGAGGTGCTGGCCTTAATTTCAGTGCATTTGTTGACTTCTTAGGTTGTGGATTTAATGTGTGGTTATTCTTTAGAACACGTTAATGTTTTCTTGGCTCAATTTATCAATAATTTTGCATGCCTGTCCTAATATTAACATGACCTGTTGTCTTTCATTTCCTAAGGAAATTACCCATAGTTGACTTGAGAAGGCCCAGTGTGATGGAAATTATGCAAACACCTATACTTTCATTCTGCATGGAAGGTCATTCAGCTCTAGACCTTGTGGATCTTTATTAAAGTGGAGATTCTACACCTGCTGCACACCTTTATAAATCATATTCTGCTTTGTAATGTGGGAGAAATATGCAAATATAGGCTGGGAGGGCTGATTTCAAATATGGGTGTACTATAATATGAATATCCAATGTTACAAAATACATCAAGTGTATAAAAAACTATGTGAAAAGAAATATTATAGGACTAAGTCTCGGAGAACCATAGTGCATGCATTGGCTGGTTTAGCATAGTATGCCCCCCCCAAAAAAAGCAAAGGCTGCATCTGGACCTGTGTGTGGATCTCTTGTCATTTATAGTGAGACCCTTGATCCCCAGCCCCACTAGGTTATGTCTCCCCTCTTCTTAAAATCTATAGCTACTAGTGACATAATATAGCTTGTTTGAATCTATATTATCAATTATGTGAAATATCAAATAACATATTTGAACAAAAACGGTTTTATGAACATATAATTTATAATGATAATTATCATTAAAGGGGGAAGTACAGTAAAAGTCATATCCACAGAAAAAACATATTATTTTACTTTTTAAATATTTATCTTGTAGTGATATGTTGACTGGAAAATGTCTTTTTCCAGAACTTTATCAAAACTACTTGTATTGATACTTGTCAATGTAGTATTTTGATGTGTAGTTTGTAAAACTGAGGATAAACTAATTTTAACATGCAACAGTTCTAAAGTGTGATGTGAGAGATTGTTTTCATGATTAAATTGTATAAATATTTGTATGGTTTTTCAGTAGCTTAATGGTCTATTCATGTCTTCCAATTTTTCTGTGGTTGTTTTTTCATCATTCAAAATGTCTAAAATTACTTCAATCAGCACTTCTTAGTATGACTTTAAATATAATATCCTAAATGTTTACAAGTAGTATTATAGTTAGAAATTGTTACATGACTGACTACAGAAGACACTTTTGTTTTCCTGGTTAGGTCTCTGTGTATTATGTCCCAATAGCAACAATTCTATTCTTGCATTCCCTGGAAGAAAGACTGGACATGTCCAAATTGTTGACTTAGCAAACACAGAAAAGTCACCTCTCGACATTCCAGCCCACGAGGCAGCTCTAAGCTGCATAGCTCTTAACCTTTCAGGCTCAAAATTAGCCACAGCATCAGAAAAAGTAAGTTACTTTTAATTGTAGTTATTTCCTGAAACTAATTGCTTTATGAATTTTTGTTTTTTTAAAACGTTATGTTACTGATGAGTACTCGGGAATGGGTGGCAACTGCCTGTTGTAGAAAAAAAACACAAATATTGACTCTCTTACTTCCACGATTGTTTCAGGAGCTGGTGATGAGAATGAGGTTTTGTTACTTTGTTGTCGTAGTTAGTATTTGTGGCACTTGTTTTGCACATAAAAAAAATAAAAAAACAACTAGTAAAGTAACTTCAGCAAATGTTTGTTTAATGAAATAATTCTTATAAAAATTAAGATATGAACTCTATTTATTATCAATGAATTTGTATTCCTATGGACTTTGGCACTTTATTGTCTGTTTTTCTTTTATTTATTTACCCTTTTGCAGAATGTAGAAGTCGTGACTGACTGATAAGAAGTGTTATTGTAAACACCGAAATAGTAGAAAAGTCTTGTGTATCTTTTAGAATTGACAGTTTTGAAAGTGAAAAACTAATGAAAATACTAATAAGAATCCCTGTGTATATCAAACCTGGAAACAATGGATACAGTTTGATCTGATGTATTTTTTTGAAATAAAATTTTTATGAAATTTGAAAGGAAATTTTAGAATGACACATTGGTGATGCTGCTGAGAACGAGCTTTTGTAAAGTAGAATTGAAAAATAAATAATGTTACCTGAAATGTTTTATGTACCAGTTGTTTTTCAGGCTTAACATATCTATTTTTAAAGGATATAGAAATATCGTTTTGTTTACCCATCCAAAGTGTAAAACCTATATCATATTTCAATCTATTAAACTTAACCTATTCCCTATATGAACAATTGCTATGTTAGCCAACTTTTAGGTTCTGGAGCTAAAGAAGTGGAAGGAGATGTCTATAAGAAGCAAAGTCAAATAAGAACAGAGAATATAGCATCGTAAATCCAAAAAACTTTAGGAGGAAAAATTAATTTTGCTTTGTCCTTTCTAAGATGTCCAGCTCTAATATCCGGCGAGATGCTTTTACCTCACATAAATGGCCTTTATGATATTTCTCCTATTTTATTTTTGTGAATAAACATGTTTTTATTGTTGAACTAAATTATTTCTTGTAGTTTAATCTTCCTACTAACTGTTTTCGTAGTTACTTTCTAGATTCAATAGTATTTTGTAATAACAAATCTTTTTTTTTTCTCTTGAAACCTAGGGTACACTCATTAGAGTGTTTGACACAATTACAGGAAATCTTCTTAATGAGCTAAGAAGAGGAGCAAACAATGCCAATATTTACTGGTATGTAGACAAAACCAAAAATAAACTTCCAGTTAAAAAAACACTCACGATATGATGACCTGAATACTTGGTGTTTTTATATATAAAATTATGAGACCCGCAAGTAAAAACAAAACTAGTTAACTCTGTTGTACACTTTTTTTTTTTACACATCCTAATTATGTAAGTAAGTGTATTTACTTTAAATAGCTTTTAAAAACCCTGGTACCCATTCATAAATGTTACCTCCCTCTCTTTGAAAAGTTTTCCATAGTATATTCAATGAACCTGCACACATCACAAAATAAGGACATGTTTTAAAAACAAAATGTTAGAGTTGCGGTTGGTAAACACACAAACAATCCCTTTAAATCCCATACTTTCTTCCTATCCAATTGAATGAATTCTGAATACAGTGGAGAAGAAAAGAGAACCAATTGAAATAAAGCTTATGGAACGTAAAAGTCATGGAAAATACTGTAAGACCTACACTTCTGCTCATGCAGATGTGGTAAGAAGAGACTTTATTAATGTAGTTACATACACAGGAAAATGTTAAATAGCACGCTCGACCATCTATGTTTAATTAGATTGCACACATTATACATTATTTATTGTATGTATGCGTACACTCACTGGCTAAAATATTAGAAAAATCTACCTATGGAATAGACTGGTCCTCACTTCATGTTTATACAAAGCAGGTATTTGTATGTTAGAGAAATAAAACCATCAAGGGTCTATAAATACGGACTAAATTATACGAGCATTAATTGTGACTATAATGATATAAGTGTTAAACGTATTACACATTAAATAAGGTGTTATTGTAGGGGCTGGATTGGTGAGTATCTTAATTGAGTGGATGGTCGAGCTGACCAGCAAATCAAAGTTACTGTGTTCTGAGTCTACATTGCATGGTTATCAGATCAAAAAAAGGTTCATATAATAAGGGAAACTGTGGTCACAGGAAAGAGCTATCAAATGGAAATAGGAGGCAAGTATCAAGCAGTGATTGGGCTAAGAGGTATTCAACTGTGTGTGAACTCTTAATAATGGTCCAGGAACATCTGCTTCACAAGAACAGTGTGCAGGGAGCTGCATAAAATTATCTTTGGAAAACATTCCTCAATCACTCATCATTTCTAACGACTGAAAGAGACATTTCCAGTGGTGCCTAGGTCATCAGGATTGAACAATAGCCCAAGTTATAATGTGGTCTTATGAATCACATTGTTCTGTGAAGGTTATATCTTTTCGTTAGTATTGTGGCAACTCGGATCTATCAGTCTCCACGGTACAAGTTTCTGCATTGTTCTGTAATGATGTTCTTATTAGTGTGGTGACAACCTAATGAAATCATGGACCCATCTTGATTAGTTTCCACTGTATAAGGTTCTGAATTGTTCTTTGACAATGACATGGTTAGTATGGTGACAATTCAATAAAGTCCAGGACCCATCCTTCACTGTACAAGGTTCTGAATTGTTCTTTGACAATGACATGGTTAGTATGGTGACAATTCAATAAAGTCAAGGACCCATCCTTCCACTGTATAAGGTTCTGAATTGTTCTTTGACAATGACATGGTTAGTATGGTGACAGTTCAATAAAGTCAAGGACCCATCCTTCACTGTACAGGGTTCTGTAATGATGATATGATTAATGTGGTGACAACCTAGTGAAATCATGGACCCATCTTGCACTGTACAAGGTTCTGAATTGTTCTTTGACAATGACATGGTTAGTATGGTGACAGTTCAATAAAGTCAAGGACCCATCCTTCACTGTACAGGGTTCCGTAATGATGATATGATTAATGAAACAACAAAATAAAGTTTTATGTATGAGAGCAGCTCCTGTTTTTTTCACCTCAAGCAGAATGTAAACCTACAAAAAAATTTTATATGCTTCTCTTGCCCATTTAATTATTAATTTGAAATATCAACAATATTTATGAGCATAGGTTTTTTGGAAACAGTTGAACTGTCGGTGATGTTTCTGTTGTTATTTTGATTTCTAGTTGTGTAGCAAGTTTTATTACTTTCATTATAGAAAGTCCCTTTTTATTTTATTTTAGTTCAACTCTAGAAATTGTTGTTATTATAACATTTCCAAGTTTTTGAAAATTTTAACACCTTTCGAATAATGCTTGTATTTTAATAGGGTTGGAAACTCGTAACCAGAATTTATTATTAACAGTGTAACAAAATGGTCATATGGTTTTCTCTTTACTAGCATCAACTTCAACCATGTCTCATCCCTTCTCTGTGTGTCTAGTGATCACGGAACAGTGCACATATTTGCTCTAGAAGATTCCAAAAAGAATAAGCAGTCTAGGTAGTTCACAGTTCCTCACTGTACCCTATAGCTCTTCATCATGTGTTTTTAAAAATGTTAAGAACGTAACCAAAGAATTAACCAAGTGTTTAAAAATATTGTGTTTAGAAAGGCCTTTATTCTTCTTCTGTGCTGCAATTTACTGCTTCACTATATGTTATTTAGCTGAAAAACTGTGAGTCTAGATGATGTGAAGCTATTGAAGAAAGCACTAAACCACCACTGAAATAAGGAAATATTATGTAATTTCTCTCCCTTAATGTTCATGTATCTGTTGGCGTTTTATTCCATGTTCTCTTGGTCAACAGCATTTGAATTGAACAGTTTAAACTACTAACTGCAAATACAGTTTGAGCAAGTCTAAGCTCTTAGTTATGCTAAAGTTCTAGTATGCAATATTGAACTTGTATTTCTTATGTAGTATAATAAATTCTATTTATAAAATAGTTACTGTAAATGTGTATTTAGCTTAATTTCTTGTAAATGAAACACGTAGATATATAATTCTAATTATGCAAAAATTCAAAGTCAGATTGATACCCTGTATATTGGAGTAAGTAACTGGTGACTACTAAATATTCTTAATATTTTTTAAATGATGCATGACCTAGTTTGGTTGATATTGTGTGGTATTTCATATATTTAATTCTAATTATGCTAAAATTCAAAGTCAGATTGATACCCTATATATTGGAGTAAGTAGTAAGTAACTGGTGACTACTAAATATTCTTAATATTTTTTAAATGATGCATGACCTAGTTTGGTTGATATTGTGTGGTATTTCATATATTTAAGATTCTTAATTAACAAACAGTAACATCTTCCAGCAGTTTTGTTGATTGACTAATAGTATTATTTTGTCAAAGCTGAACCCTTAATTTCAAGGTCCTTTGCTTGCAGAATGTGTCCTTGCTGTATTATTGTTATTAAATAACTTTACATTTCCTTATTTTGTTTCATATCTTGTTTTAAATGCTGATTTTGCAACCAGTAGAGCTTCTAACAAAAGTTGTGTAGATAGTTTTTCCTATCAGTATCAGTAAATTAAAAACAATGCTTCTTTGGTACTTTATCAACTTGGTTAGGGTTTTATGGATTATTATTATTTCATATTCTCTTTAGAATCATGCAGTTTTAAGAGATCATACAGTTCAATGTGTTATTTTACAGTTTTTCAAGAGAACATGTAGTTCAATGTGTTATTTTACAGTTTTTCAAGAGATCATGTAGTTCAATGTGTTATTTTACAGTTTTTCAAAAGAATATGTAGTTCAATGTGTTATTTATTTCACAGCTTAGCATCAGCAACGTTTCTTCCCAAATACTTTTCATCCAACTGGAGTTTTTCCCGTTTCCAAATACCCAGTGGTGCACATTGCATTTGTGCCTTTGGTGCTGATCCTAATTCTGTGATTGGTAGGTCTCATTTTTTGGTGCACAATATTATTTTTATCAAACAGAAAACAAATATTCAAGGTTTCTTTAAAGTCTATAAATGCAGACCAGTGTATTTGTTTGATATCCAACTAACGATAATGTCTATAAATGCAGACCAGTGTATTTGTTGATATCCAACTAACGATAATGTCTATAAATGCAGACCAGTGTATTTGTTTGATATCCAACTAACGATAATGTCTATAAATGCAGACCAGTGTATTTGTTTGATATCCAACTAACGATAATGTCTATAAATGCAGAC